GACACACAAGGTACATCATGTCACAAATATGTATGTGCATTTGTTTCATGATCCGCTTAACAATAGCTGAATGATGGCCATTTTAAGGCCGAAAATGCATCAAAGTCACGTATTTTCACAATTCCGGAACCGGATCTCAGTCATGCATGGATGGATTTTGTTCAGATTCAGTGCATATATTAAACATAATATAAGCTTGATGCACACATATTTTTCTTCGGATCAACTTCAAAATGGCCGACTGGCGGCCATTTTGTTTTAAAGAATTTAGTTTTCGGTCCATATCTCGGACATGCCTGGACAGATCAAGTTCAAACTACACACACATACACAACCTGTACATATGCAGATGCATTTTGGTCATAATCCAATTTAAGATTGTCGACTGGCAATCATTTTAATGTTGAAAAATCATCAAAATCGTGCATTTTCACCTTTCCAGAAATGGATCTCGGCCTTGCATTGGGAGATTTTCATGCACATCATTTTGTTTTTTGAATCTGGTTTAAAATGGCCAGCCGGTGACCATTTTGTTTTACTAAATATAGTTCCGGATCCATTTCTCAGGCATGCCTGGACTGATCAAGTTCAAGTGTCATACATAAATCATACATGTTGTACACACATGATCTGATTTAAGATGGGTGTGTAACATCCACCAAAGGTAAAAAAATCGTCAAAATTGCACATATTTACCATGGGTGAATTTAGTTCACACTTCATGCATACATTGTACATTATACATTATGGTACCTTGAATCACGTTGTTTTGTTTTCCAAATCGGGTTTTAACTGAATACAGTTCAGCATCCATATCTCGGGCATGCCTGAACCGATCAAGACCACACTTCACACACATCATACAATGTGTTGCACATAGGCAGGTGCATTTCGGATCAGACCACTGAAAGTGGTCTGAGATTTCGGTCATGATCTGCTTTGAATGTATATGTCACTCAAATATGAACAGAACGGGGACGTGTCATTGACAATGACTTGTTAGACATAACTTGATGAACATCTACAATGTATCTGAGTATCTCTTTTCTCCACTGATTTTGATATGTCTGGAGGCTTTCAGTAGACAATGTGTTAAAATGCAATGCAAAACACTTTTCATTAGATGGACATTCGGTTAAACACATAACCACTTTATAGAGGGCACATACTAGATTCATTAGATGAACATTTGGTTAAACACATAACCACTTTATAGAGGGCACATACTTGATTCATTAGATGAATATTTGGTTAAACACATAACCACTT